CTCTAGTCTTTTCCGTGTCTTCCACTGGCTTTGTACAATTATTACGATCACTCCTGTTATCGCAATACGAAGCTTACAAAATCTTCCAGGAAGATAGGTATGGTGTCCTGAGGGATCACCAAGCTAAAGAAGGCATCAGAAAACAAAACAGGGCATCCTTATTATGCCTCTGAATGCCTGAAAATGCAAGTTTATAAACTTTTTGGGTATTAAGAATTCATTGATCTAAACAAAGACCACCTTTTAATATCTTTGTGACTGAATTTTATTAGTCCTTGTTTTGGAAGCAGCCAAGGAAAACACCTTAAAACCTGCTAAATATTAGAAGATACATAAATATAAATATGTACTAGAGGATACAGAGCAACATTTTTTAGAGACTTAGATTTATTTAAGACATTAGAACCTCAAATAGACCTTATACAKAATTCTCATGTTAGAGCTCTGTGGTGCACAAGTCAGCAGGGTGCTGGGAACAAAATGGGCCCAAGTCAACATGCAAAAATAGGCTTATAGACCCCAGTCACAACTGCTTTGCAATTCTACTTCTTTCTTACAGGTTTTACATCACCTCAGTGGTGTAATTTTGCCAAGCATTCAAGCTCCCAGGCATTAATTAATGTTTAAATGTTTTGACTTACATGTCTGTACATTTCCTTATAAAAGTATCTGGTCTAGTATTGACTATAAATGGTTGTTCGAAGGCAAATTCCTAAACAGTTCTTACAAGCAACAATTTGGTTGTTTTGAAGTGATGTTCTGTYGAATAACTAWATGCGGTGCAACAATACATCAATCCTCATTAATATATTSATTAAATGATTCAGTTACATCAAGGCRAAACAGAAACATCAATCTATATTGTCATCATAAGCTGGATGTGAATTGATTGCATGCCTGTGAATTGAATTGAATCAACACAATATCTTGACAGACTGTGACACTGASAAACATTGTATTGTCATAGAAACAAAATGATATTGTATTGTGATGAAGCTGGTGATTTACACCCCTGTTAACTATCACATTTGGTACTTTATCAAGTGTGACATCAGTTTCAGGAAGCGGAGTATGAAGGAAAGCTGAATTTATTTTTTTACAGGAGTTTAGTTAATAGCTGATGCTTACATTGCATTTTTAGCATTATTTAAGACATCAAACAGCTCTTKCTCAAAAACATCATAGTGATGTAAAAAAATGCTATATTGGCAACAATTAAACTTCAATTCAGCATCAGACTATCTGTTTTGTTTCTCCTTGTTTTCCCAACCAAACATTTGTGTTATTAAAACAAATCTTTATATGATTTCTATGACAAATAAATGTATGAGTCTGTGTTATCAGTGCATTTCATCAGGTTTACTCAACTCTCRGTGGACTTGGACTGAACCCAACAAACTAACAAAATGTGCTGATCTGGCAGACTGATATGTTCAGTCACCTCTGTAAACCAGTTCCTGTCCAGTTGAGAACACCGTAACAAAATAAACAAATGATGTCATGCTTCGTTTATCGCTAACATAGCGTTCTTTTACAGTAGTATGGCATTTTTCTCAACAAAAGATGTCTTATATGTTTAAAACAAAGTAATAAATGTGGCACCAGACTGGTTAGTCGTTAAACTCCTGCAGGTGAATTCTTCCTCTCTACATCCTCCCCCCACCATGACTGATGATGTCACARCTGATAAGGCTCTAAACATTTGATTGAACATTATCTCAAAATGGTCAAACTTCATCAATAGATTGGATTTATTCCTGGGAGTTGACCATAGCTGTGCGTTTCTTACATTTTTGAAGTGCAAATGAGTTTTAAAGTGGCACTTCATGGGAATACCGAAGCGTTTTTAGGTACAAATGTCACAAAATCATCTAAGAGGAGATCTCGATCTGTATGTAACAGACATGGCTAAAAGTACGACAATATGTCATGTCAATCCAGTCTTTGACAATAAAATGTTACCTGAACATTTTCTGTTAATAAAAAGAAAATGAAATCTTTCATTGTGCCTGTATTTTGTTACGCTTTCTCAGTTTGATGTGTGCTGATTTGTTTTGGCATAACTGTGACAGGAGGTGGTGTCAAATGTTGCTCTAAGTGCCCTGAAATTGGATCAGCTCACAGCCAAGCAAAGCAGTGTATGTCCAAGATCTTTTAGTCACCTGCCTTTAATCTTGATAAAGAAACCAAATGTCTTTCTGCTGAATCAATCATTCATCCCTGCAGTGACGTTAATTAAAAGTCCATTGAATTTTGGTTTTGTTGCTTTTTTTTTTTCCTTTGGATGATGGAAGCATTACGTTTGTTCAGTATTAAGATGTCAGAGTTTGTGGTTTTAAAGTTTGCAGGTGTTTCTCAATTTTCTCAACTTTTTAATTTTTTTGTGCAACACTGTAATTAAAAGTAAAATAAATAGGGCAACAGAGAAATTCGTGGAGTGAGAAGAGGAACACATAATGAGGATAATTTCCTGTGTGGCAAAGGGAGAAACTGGGGTGTTTGTGGGTAAACAGGCTGCGAGAGAGTGAGAACAAACTCCAGCCACAACCACCGTTTCCTTCCATGGAGGAAGTGAAACTGGAGCAAGTTTTGACTGGAGATCAAGGACTGAGATACTAAAAAACAAAACCTTTTTGTTTCGTTCTGTATAAGTCCTTCTCTGACCTCAATTAGATCAGTTCAACAAACTAAAACTCCAAAATACGTCCTTTATCATAAAATTATTTAATACATTCTTCATTTCTTTTTTCTTTTACCGAAGAGGCTGCTCTTTGCTCTAGCGAAGGAAAGAAACGTTTCTAGCTTCCTGAATGTAACACCCACACAGACGAGACATTCCTTTTGTTGGTTGTCTTTTCCTAAATTAAAAAAAAATAAAATAAATTACACTGTTAAAGTTAAGATATAGTTAATAAAAGTACTTGGCAATTAGTGCACACTATGTAGTTAAAGTTGAATACATTAGGGGTTTTCTCAACAAAACAAAACAAAAAGAAAAAAGAAAACATKCCATTATTAAAGCTCCACAGGTAGAAACATTTTCAACTACAAAATAAAAGTCCAGTTGTTGTTTTCTTTTTGTTTTTTAAATGTAATGTGTACTGAATGACTGATAACATACACCAGCATAATCTTTCTACATTTCATTAAAAAAATATAAATATAGAATATCTGTGGTGGGTACGTTTCCCCTAAAGCACTAAAGCACTAATAGGGGAACTACAGTAATTTCCTGATTAGTGCTTTAGGGCTTTTGCTAATTTTAAAATATATTAGTGGATTAGCACTTGCTAAATTTATAGGCTAAATTTAGAAGCACTAACTGAGGTCTTTAAATGTTATTGATCAACGTTAATGTTAACAGCTGAGGGTTAAAGCTGTCACACATTTTGTTCATATGTGTCACTTATCCACCAGGTGACAATATATTAACAATATATTAACTCAGTGTTTCCCAAAGTTGGGGTCGGGACCCAAAGTGGGGTCCCGAAACATCAAGGTGGGGTCCTGAAAAGATTTTCTGAATTATATTTTTGCCCTAGTTGTTACAAAGGAGTGAGGYTAATATACTTAAAATGGATAAATTGTTACTATGCCCATGTTTAGTTGACCTGATACAAATGTTTATCATCCAAAAATAGTTGGGGACACAGGTCTCTGCTACTGTTATTTTGTGGGTCAAAAGCTGAAAAGTTTGGGAACCACTGCACTTTGGTTCCCAAAGTTGGGCTTGGGACCTAATTATGGGTCATGAAGCACCTTGGATAATCTTCAGAAATCAATTTAAAGGATAATAAAATAATTGCTGATGTAATATTTTTCCTATAACTATTACAAAAACACAAATAAGTAAAGATAAGTATTTATATTTGTGTACAAGCTGTTTAGATGGTCAAAAAACCTGTGTTTTTAGGGTTATTAATGAAGTTTGTGTACTCAGACCAGTAATATTTGGGGTCACAAGTTTTTGCCATGGATATTTTTTGGGTCAGAAGACAAAAAGTTTGGGAACCACTGTATTAACTCAAATCCAGCTATGGAATGTCAATGATAAGAATTAAGAGAGCAACATGACAATATGTGACTCATGTTGTCTGCTGAAGAATGTTCATGGGTTGACTGGGTTATTTTAGTGCTTTAGAATTAGCGTTTGCTAAATTTTCAGTGAGTTAATGCTTTAGAATTAGGGGACCTAAATATTTGAGTTAGTGTTTTAGGGCTAGTGGAACTAATTTTTAGATTAGTGCTGCCCACCACTGTCTAATATTAATAAAGAATTCTGGTTCAAAGTTGCACATCTAGCAGCTCTGTAAGTGAAAGTTGCGAATTGGAGACCGTCACTCATTGATATATTTGATATTGTTTTCTAAAAAGAGATCCATCCATCCATCCATCCATCCATCCATCCATCCATCCATCCATCCATCCATCCATCCATCCATTTTGCTCATCCCACAAATGCATGTTCCTTACAGATGTATTGTATTTCATCATCTTACCTTGTATTTTATTGTAATTTATTCATTTACTCATTTATTTTTTTCTATCTTTTTTGGTTTGTTTGCTTCTTTGTCATTTATTTATTGGGGCACCAAGGTGGGACTACACCACAAATTTGCTGCATTATTGTATGAAATATGACTGTGCAATGACAATAAAATATTTTATAATATTATTTGGATAAACATGTACATTTAAAAGGGAAATAAAGAGGCTTTCCAGCTGTATAAAACTTATTGCCAAAAAGCAAGAAATAATCGACCAAACACAAATTTCCATACTTTTTGTGCTAAATTTATAAATCATTGTGATATCTAAAAAGACCAGATTCTATAATCTCATATAATTCAAGGGTCCAACTTTATTTTGAGCTTTAGTTGAATCCAATCTACAAACTAAAATGTTTTTAATGAATTCATCCTAAGCGCACAAGCTTTAAAAAAAAAATATTTCCAGACGAGGCAAAACCACATTACATTTGTCTGTGTCTGTCTCCACAGGGCGATCCACTCCCTTCATCCCTGCTTGACCTGCTGCAAAACTCTCCCATCTCCTCAGTGGAAGACCTGAAGCTGCTGCTGCAATACGAGTCAAATGCAAAAGGTACCAATGTCCGGATGACACACACACACACACACATACAAAGAAAAAACACAAACTCGGAGGAGGTAAACATGTGTGTGCAGAGCCCTGAAGACAGAGGAATGCAGAGCGAGTGCCCATGCCAAGCGAAGAGTTTCATCAGACACTTAGATAACAGCCTGATGAGGGAGAGAGCGAGAGCAGCAGCGACCTTGTGGGTTAGACAGTCTGAAACAGGGAGGAGGGGCGGCTCCTTCCAGCACAAGGTCACTGCATTGTTCTCCTGCTCTGGATTTCTCCAAAGSTTTGAATTATAGATGTGTGTGTTTATGTCGCAGAAGGAGACCAGCCCTCTCCACGCTTCCTCAACCCCAACAGAGCCCAAACTTGTTTGCACACACACCAGCAGGRCACTTAAAAAATGGATCACAGCCTTCCATACCTCAGAGGATCCAAGTCACCCATAAATATATTAATAGACAGGCCTTTGATCATCCCATAATGCATGAACAACAGGACAAAATAACAGCAGAACTAACAGAAGGAAGGATGTTTGAAAACAGGACACATGGAAGTGACTCAGAATGAGTTCATGCAGTTTTAGCAAAAATATGTTGGGTTTTATTTTGTGCATTTTATGTATTTTTTTATCCTTCTGTTTTATGATCGAAGGACAAACTGAATGCACAAATTATGCATTTGGAATAACTTAGATCATTTATGAATTTATTTATTTATTTTTTGAATACATGTTTTTGGATGAAATAGCAAATGCTACCTTGTCAAACAGGCAGTGACCTTTGACCCGTGGTGTTATTACACTTGTTATTTGAGAAGGAAGAAATAACAAAAGAACATTTCCCATAACTTTGAGTTTACATAAGTGTCACTCCAGTTTTACAACGTCATCATAAAACAGTCGGCTTCCTGATAACTGAACTGATTTGAAACGATCAAAGAATCATTTTCTGCTATTAAAAGAACTCCGTTTAGTTTTTTGCAAGGACTGATTTCACATTTTAATTTTTCTGTTTGCTGTTTCTTTCATTTACTTTTGTCTATGTACTTCTGTAAACACTGCGTTGTATTAAACATTCGTAAATCAAAACATTCAACTCAGAATATGGGTGCGTTTTGGTTTCTGTAACTTCTATCCCCTTTTGTTTACTTTATTTGCAAATATATTTTCTTGATAGAAATAAATTAAGATCTTTCTAAAACGATTCTCTTTACTTTGAATCCAGGCTCTGCATGCTTGCTTCTTCTTTCTTTTTTATGCTTTTAGCATTTTAACAGTGTTACCAAGAGTTTTGCTACTTGTAGTTTTAAGTTAGTCTTTTAATACTTTTAGCTAGCTGTTAACTACTTTTAGCTTAAACTTGCCATTTTGCAACACTTAGCTTTTAGCTAGCTACTTGTAGCTACTGTTTTTGCCATATTTGCCTTCTAGCTATTCCTTTTAACCCCTTTCAGTTTTTAGCTACTGTTCTGCTCCTTTTAGCTTTTTCAGCTCCTTCAACGAAGTCGTTTATCTCTCAGCTCACTTCTCAAGTACTCTCCCAAGTTTGCAAATTCTACATTTTGAGTTCATTTTTTTCCATTGTTACACATTTTCTAGTGACTGGAACCAATAATGGTTCTACTACACATTTACTATTTAATGCAGGCATATCTACACAATCTTGCGTATGCACCATTTTGAGAATACACAACAAAAGGTTTTCTGTAAATTGGTCTTTTGTTAGAACTGACAGGAGAGGGTGCAGAAGTAAACAGATTCATTGTTGATGTCYATAAACTATTTTGATGCACATAAATGCACAAATACTGTAACATTCAAAGTTGCCTCCGAGTACACACTTATACACCTAATTAAAATGAACAGTCAACCTAACACTTTTCTRTGCGAAGCTATCTTCACCAGAGATATAATTAGGACTAAGGGGCTACAGYATGAAATGGGGGTATGTATGTGCACATGCATCAGCTATTTTTAACGCCTCATATCTCTCTTCAGCGGTACTCTTGACAGCAGCGAGACAAATTGTGGCAGAAAATAGCCTAATTGTTTTTGAGGGGTTAAAAAAATGGCTTCCTTTGTGCAGTGAACAATGAGCCTGGCTGAAAAGTTCCTGAATGGTCTTACAYGTTTTACACAGTTTTCTTATTAAAGCAGAGCTTAAATGTTGCTCAAASTCAGAGAAAACCTTCTGATGCTTTTCTCTCYAACTTCATCTTTATTTCTTTCCCCCCACATCTCCTTTAGGAGATGAAGAGGATGAACATGATGTCCTTCCAAACCCTGCCCATGGACGATATACYAGAAGTCTTAGTAAGTTACACTTCTATTTCACTTTGATAATTTATTTTTTCCCTCATCACTTTCATGGTTACTTATGGCATGTTAATCTTCTTGTTTTTTTTTTCTTATAAAAGTTGAGGCACAACTAGCTGAGCCAGCAGAATGTAAAGTTCGAACTGAGGTGATGGAAGTGACGAGATCCATGCACGATCGCCACAATGCCAACTTCATGCTGTGGCCGTCGTGTGTGGAGGTGCAGCGATGCTCGGGCTGCTGCAGCAACAGGCTACTGAACTGTGTCCCCTTAATGACCTCCAGCAGATACCTGAAGGTAATTCAGCTGCTGTGAAACAAGATGTTTATATTTGCTGGAATTAGAAATCCTCTCAGGATTCAGGACAGTGGGTCACGAAGAACAGGGTTTAAATAAGTGAGTAACCTGAACCATGATTATGTTTTAAACTATAACAGAATTAAGTTTAATATAGGTATGTTTTATTTGGGATTTATTTGTTAGAACCACTGTAAGTACTGTTAACTTCATACCAAATCCTTGCTTTTCTCTAGTTAGACTTTCTGTAATTGTAATGAACTTATTTATTTTTTTTTTTTTTGTGACTCATTTGTAAAACATTGTTGTAGTAGTAAATCAGGTCATCATTTGCAACACCAATAAAAAAATTAATTTGTGCAAAAACTAATACAAAAACTAAAGCTGTTAAATTATTAATATTTTAAATTTGATTAATCCCAAAGTAGCTTTGTATTATTCATGATTCATT